AGAAGGAAGAAACATCAAATGCATTCAGTGTGAAAGAGATATGGTCTAAGAGCCTGAAGATCCAGCTTCTGTCTTCTCTCCTTAACCCAGACCATTCAGGATGCTCATAGGAAATGAAAAACCAGGGACGTAATGAGCAGAAGCATTCAAAGCAATAAACATGTCTACCTAAACTTGGTGAGAACTGCACCCCCACACCCCTATTAAGTAATAATTTTAAAAAGAATTCTAATTTACAACATGTGTCATACTAATTTGGGAGTCACTCTACATATATACTGCACCATTACTAGCCATCATGACCGTGGCCACCTCAGATAACAGGAAATTATAACAGGTTCAATTTACACATCAAAATGAATGTACCCTTGAAGGGCAAGTCATTGTTAAGTTTTGCGCACGCACCCGCGCGCACACACGTCACTCTAGTCTTGAATAGCTTAACTTATACATCTGTGTTTTTACTACCATCTGAACAGAGCCACTTCCTTTCTTTAATGCACACTAGAATTGATAGCTTGCCCCAGCAAGGCTCCCAATCCCTTCTTCTTCAACCCAACAGCATTTAAAATATTGGGTAATGATTATGAGTGTGTGTGTGTGTGTGTGTGTGTGTGTGTGTATGCATGCACTGAACATCCTTACTTTGTTCAACCACTCCTCAATAGTTTTTCATAAAATCTATGCTTGTCACATCCTCATCACTCACCTGGGCAGAATCCAGCTTTAACATACAATCTCCTAGGTTGGTCTCATTTTGAACTCAGCAAGGGTCATCTCTCCGGTATAGGAAGTATAATGTAAGCATTACAGCCAACCATCTACTAATCCAAGCCAATGTTCCTTTAGGACACAAGTTACATACAATACCTTTTTGAGTTTCTGGTCACATATCTCAGTATAAAAGCAGTTTCCTGGGAAAGGCTGAGTTCAACCTTCTCCCAACCTCCTTCCAAGCCCCAGCCTGTGACGGCGAGTCACGTGGTAAGTGCCAGCCAGACATTATCTTTTGTTTTACTAAGATGAACTTCGGGCTGGAGGAAGCTGCTTAAGACTGAACAAGCCAATATCTCAGTTACAGTTGTGTTTAGGGGGAGAGGGGGGTACAGGGAAGGTAATTACATTTTGCTTTTAACAAAATAACTCTAAATCCTCATTAGGAACGGAAGGTAATTACATTTTGCTTTTAACAAAATAACTCTAAATCCTCATTAGGAACGAATTGTTCCTGTGATGCTGCAGACACAGCAGTGTCCATGGACATGGCTTACTAAAAATGTTTATCCAGAATTATTCACTTTAATGCACTTACTGTCTTTTGCCTGACTCACCTTTATCTTATTTAAAAAGCAAAGTATTTAACACATGCCTCTTAATACAAGGCACTGAGGTTTTTTTTGGAAGCAGATAAGGGTCATAAATAACTGACCATTCCAAGAATGCATTAGATGAGTTTGTAGATTTATGCCGGGTTGTCTGCAGGTTTATGGTTTGTGCTTAGATTTCCTGTTGCCATAATCAGAAATCCAGGGACAATGCTTTAGGGTTAATTTCTTTAGTGCATCTTCCAATTAGATCTGTTTTTCTTTCCCTCCATCAACAATGATTGCCTATCAGAGTGATTTGCTTGGAAATTTCTGAGCAGAGTCTCTCACATGTTACATTGCTAAGTTTTGTTCCTTGTGATCACTGCATCTATAGTAATCACATGATCACATTTAATATTCTGATGGTTTTATTAACAAGTATATAATACATATATTGCATACTGTATATAGTATATGAGGACTGTACAGTACAAATTTATGTTCACAGTTTGACATGACAAAATGTCATTACTGAATTCCCATTGGACTACAGAGTAGAAACAGAGAAGGTACATTAAACATTCACATCTTTAGTAAGAAAGATTACCAAAATGTTTCAGTATTTGCAAGTATACTAATGCATGCTAAAAACCTTTACCCATTCAGTCTTATTAGCTTATAAAATATATTACACTTTATTAAAAATTTCTGCATAGTTTATACAAGTATTAAAGTACTGCAAATGTAATAATCCTGCTATACTTGCAGGTATGGTTTAAGAGATGCTAAGCAGAAAGATTATTTTGACCCTCTAACACTAAGTACATATCAGCAAAAAAAAAAAAGTGCTAGTATTTGTAAAACATAATATTGTAGCCCTCGTTTAATGCATGGAAAATGGCTTTGTAAATGTATTATTTCATAAGTGGATTTGCAATCATTTAGAAATTGTTAACCTTGACCAAGAAGAGAATAAATACCGCTCTGAGCAACTTCATGTATGACAGTGATTCCTTCAAGATGACAATATTTTCAAACCAATGGATTTACTTTAAAACTTTAGATCTTTGAGATTGTCTTTAAAACAATCTAACCAGGAAAGATGTGCAGATATACAGTATCAGCAATATACTAGTCTTTCAAATTCCACATTAGTGCAACACTGATAGTGCAGGTGGGTGTTTAATAATGAAACACACATGTACATATGTAGTTCCCTGTAAATCTGTCCCGAGGCTCTCGAAGCTTCTGCATGTTTAGCATTTCGTTAGCTGAACGTAGCTATGCTGCTGACATTCTCCAAACAAGGCGCTTCAGAATGTTTAATGCCCATTAACGATGTAGATTCACATTTTAAAACTCTAACATATGATGGATTCAGATTTAATTTTTCTGACACTTGGATAATAACTGAATAAATTCTGTAACAATTTATACACTAGCTCCATGCTTACAAATCATTCTCATCAACTTGAATATTGCAATTAAAATCGCCATTGATAGTAAGATGGCACATCACTAAAACCACACACTCAAGGGCATCTTATTTGAGGTCTCCCACAATAACAGCTAAAAAATGACTAAGAAACTAAATTTCTCAACTATGATAGTAAGATACAAATATATATATATATATGTATATAAGAGGAAAATTTGGAGAGCCAATTGGTAACAACAGTATGTAGACCAGCAAGGGGACAGAGAATGATAGCTTCTCTGGATGGTTCTTTCAGTTAAAATGGAACTTTGTTAATCAACTGTTAACATAACCTAAGCAAGCCAAGTATAATGTAATGGTCTCTGCAGGGTTTTGCTTGTACTTTTGAACAGAATTTTGATATGCCATAGCAAACATTAAATTTCACCAGAACCCATGAAGCTTTCTATTAATTGGACTCAGACTCAAAGCTCATTATAGAAAGATCAACTCTACCCTTTCTCATCCCCCTTCCCACCTTCTGTGGTTAGAATATACATAAACTGGTTTTCTCCATCAAAACAAAAAAAAGTCCCTTGCATTCAAACTTAATTCTTCGGTGTGTTGTGGAAGAACCATTTCAAGAAATAAACACTTTGGCATGAATGTGACTAAGTATTTACAATACAGACAATACCTACTTTCCCAAGAGCTATTTTTTTTAATCCCTCAATTCATATCTTAGTTGCAACCAAACACACAACAACAAAGAAAAGGCCCAATTAGGATGTTTTAATATTCTAAATGAATTTTGCAGTGCTTAAAAAAAAAGGTAAAAACCAAGTGCCAGGTAACAAATTATTTTGCATTTCTGTACATTTCCTTTCAGTTGGTTCAGAGAGCTGTTGAGTGGGACCTCTAGGTGTGCAGTCCTTACAACTACTTTCATTGACATAGCGCCAAAGTAAGCTCCCCACACAATTCGCAGGCCTCCAGAATCACTTCTTCACTGATGCTTTGAAAACAGTGTATTCCTCCCAGTTAAAGTTGTATTGGATCCTGAGTTGTGGCTCGGACGAATCTTCAGGATTCCATTCTTCTCTTCTCCATCCTTTATGAAGGGGCATTTGGTCACATGTGCCCACTTTTGACCACCGTTGCCACTTTCTTCAAATTCAGAACCAAGGCATTTCTACACATGAATTATTTTTATTGGCATTTAGACTATGATGCTCAAAAGCCTACTTTTGAGAAATGTCCCCCAAATAATGGTGCTATTTGTCTTGAACATGAACACGAGTCATTTTCAGTTTGTTCTTCTGACAGGATACTTGGTAGTGAGAGTGCCAGCTCCGACAGTAAACTTTGGGAATTGTTGAGCTACATCTATGAATCCCTGAACTGTGATTTTCTATTTTTTAGGAATCTGTCCCCCCCAGTAAAGGTCTGTGTGCTTCACAACTATTTACAAATAGCGTCACTCAGGTCTTAATGAATCTACTTAGCAGATGCTTATCTGTGATATGTGTCATGAACATCAATGACAGCCAATTTGGCACCTTGTCACTCACACAGACTTTCTGTATGAAAGCTGTATGAGTAATTTGATATGGGAATATAATTACCACTCAATGTTCCCCTGTTTGCAAAAAGGCTCTCAGTAGGTTTGGTAAAGAAGGCCATTCAGACCCCCATCCAAAAGATTCTTTACCATTTCTGGGCAAATATTTTTGTGGCGTCCCTACTCTCAATGCTTGATGATCTATATTAAGGACACTGTAGGACTGGAGGTCGGTACATGGGTAACCCCACCAGTATTTGGCTTTGCTGGACGGTTCTGCACAGTTGAATATGCAGAGACCGAAGTTCTAGGAACGCACCGCACAGCTAACCAAATGATGAAATCTCACTGAAAACCCCTGGCTGGCTTCCTCCTCTGCCCCCTTGCTCCAACTCCATGCGATGCAAATACAGCCTCCATCCCTTGAACTCCATCCCTTGAACTGACAGATCACCTCCCTACGTCAACAACTCTAGCTTATCTTCCACTGGTGGCAAAGTCCTCCTAAAGGACTTAATGTCGATGAAGTGATAAATCCAACTTGACAAGCAAGATTGGTGAAGGATAACGGAAGAGCTGACTGAACTCGCCCGGAATCTTGCTGCCCTTCTAGTTGACCTGTGCAGGGGTCCACCCGTCTTTTCTCGGTGCAGCACAAAATGCGATCACAGGGCTCAGAGGTATGACTGTCTCTGGCAAGGACTAGCAGGCTGGATACTGTATTTCTAACACATTTACTTTGACATTCTTTTGAGGAATACATGGACAAACCGACAACTGGTTCTGTTTACATGTTCCCTTGTTCTCATTACATTAAACTTATCTGTAAGAAGGGTTTGCTTAGCATCCCCGGAAAAAAAAAAGTGTTCACATTCTTTAGGTCTGACCCGTGGTAAGGAGGGAGGATTAGAGAATATTTACTACTGACCATATGGAAGTTTGACTGATATAAATTCAGAGATTCAGACCAGCTGAATCAAAATTAAAATGTACATGTAAAAAATGAGTTAGACAACGGGAGGGAGGACAGAGAGAGCTGGGCGAGTGGGGAGCCGCGTGCCGAGGCGGAGACGGAGACATTCAAACTAGCATGTGGCGTTTCCTATGTAGGGCAAGGTGGTCAGAACGGGAGAAGCTGCGGTCACAGTCCGGACACTGGAAAGGTTTGATTCCAGTATGTTTTCGGAAATGTCTTGTTAGTTCATCAGACCGAGCAAACTTCCATGTGCATCCTTCCCATGTACATTTGTAAGGTTTTTCTCCTGCAAAAAGTGAAAAGAGCTTATTATTATTATTTTTCTGATAGAAAAAGACTGTTAATTAGTAAAAGCAGTAAAATTCAAATGTCTGAGCTAAAGCTCTTGACATATATTATTTCCAAGGTATGTTTATCCATTTGTCCCTCAATAACAGTATCTTATAAACCACTACAGGACAAGCAAGAAAACATTAATTCTCTTTTAAAAAAAAAATCTGAAGTCTCTATCAACTGAAATATCTGTTGGGGATTTCAACATCTTAGCTTTTGTCTAATGGATAATAACTATGCCTAAGAATAATGCTTTCATCCGGAAGTGCTAACACTATAGTGATGCCTCCCCACCCTGTTACAGCCGGGTGTCTCCCACCCCTCCTGTGGGGTAATGGTCATTTGCAGGTGAGGACAGAAGACCCTTGTGAGAACACCCTAGGGAGAGCCATTAGGAAGACCCTCACAAATGAAAAGGCTGTTAATGGCTATCTTCCATGTTTAAATTAGTAAAAATAGGTAACAGGCACCACTAACTAATTTCCATTCCTCGTTCTCTAGAAACCTTATAGACTACCATTCCTTGGCATTTCAATGAGATATTCAGAATTTGTATAAATGCTAAGAGGTATTTTGCCCACATCTGAATTGTTATGCAAATATTCAATTTGGTCTTTTTAATCTTAGGCTGGAATCTGGAAGCATCCACCGCAGGGTTGTCCCATTCATCTCCTGGAGATGTTTTTACGAATCTATTTGACATAGGTTTGGTGATTGGGTGTTCCTCTAAATGCAAGCTGTAGGTAGATTGATTTTCCCTGGCTTCCTCTCCCAGAATTCAATGAAAAACTCACTTCCACTGTGCTAGACACTTTCCTGCCCTTTTTTCTTCCAAATCCCAGAGTCTTCTGTTTAAATATTCCTCATAAGAATGACTCATAAGAATAAAAAAAATAATCTATACCCTGAGTTAAGAACAATGTATACAGAGGCAAATCCCTATCACACTAGAATTTCATACTGAAGAGTCTGAGGTTGGGTCAGATGTGACCTATAGTAAACATTAATCACCAGTACTTACTACAATTCATCGGATTATTTACAACATTTTTACACAATTTCCTTAAGATACTTTGCTACAAAATGTTGAAGAGCCCACGGAACAATTTCACGTTTTCTTCACCTATACAACAATTTTCATAAGATCTGGCTGCACACTCTGTATTTGAGACTGGGCACGATGGAAAATATTCTAGAACAAATATGGCAGGCAATCACATAGAAGTTCCCTCAGTTTTAGAAGCGGGGATTTACCCAAATTCAGCTTCTATAAACTGCTGCATTTATTTGTTCTGCGTAAAGAGCTGGTTTTTACTATTGTGAACTGCAGTTCATTTGCCATAATTCTGTACATAATTCTTGATGTACATTTGCCATAGAAGAGCCCATAGGAAGACCACATCCTGGTGAAATCGGCCCACAGTTAAGAGCACTCTCCCCTCTGTTCCACCGGAAGATCCATCCCTTTCTCTCTCCTTCATTGCAGAGTGCAGAATCACAAGTGATTGGCCTTCCTACAGCGATGACCTTGAATCTATTCTACTTATTACAAAAGTAAATCATAACAAAATACTTAATTTATCATGACAGAGACATCTGTAAATGACTATGGTAACTTTCAGATGCCTGAAAAAAAAATCATTATAATAACCTCTGAAAGTCAGAACGTTTGACTTAACCTTGTAGTCTAATTCTTAGGAAGAAAGCGAGTCTTGTATTTCTGATACCTGTATGTGTTCTTCTGTGTGCTTTCAAGTGAGAGCTTTTAGTGTACACTTTGTTGCATCCGTCATAATCACATCTGTGTATCCTTCGCTTCCTTTGGGTGTCTGGAGATTCCACAGGTAAAGGTCTCTTCCCCGGCTGTACTATGACTGAAGGGTGATTCCTGTGAAAGGCAACGTTAAATGCAAAATGTTGAGTGGAAGGCTCTTCCTTTTCTTTAGTCTATCAAAAGCATTAACAACACCGGGCAAAAACAAACAAAACCCAACAAAATAAACAAAAAGAAATTAGCTGATCAACCCAAGAAGCACTGCTATATTCATTCAACAAACATTGAGTGAGCACCTACCATAAGCCAGGCACTGTGCTTGGCACCGGGACACAAAGATGAATAAAAACAGGGTTCCTGCCCTCGAGGAGCTCACACTCTAGGGGGAGACAGACATGTAGATAAGTAATGACAGTAAGAAGAGTTAGGTGCTACGCTGCAGGGAGGTGCAAAGCGCTAGAAGTCTCTTTGCCTCAATAAAAATTTGCCTGTTTATAGAATGTTGTGGCCCTAGGTAATGCTGGACACTCTACTACTATTCACAGGCCATCCTTACTTTCATTTATTGTTCTTTAGGGAAAGGTCAGACTCCTAAGTCTCAGGCAACCACACTGTAGGAGGTCAGCCCTCTCAGGAACCCCTGACATTCTCCCTACCTCCCTGATTGCTCTCGCCCAGACTCATATCCTGCATTTGCATAAATCAAATCATGTTAAACATCATTACTGTGGACTTCTTTTTCAGAAAGGTAGTTGGAGAGAAAAGGCAGATGGGGAAGAGCTGGGAAAGGTCTGTAGTTTCCCCAGACTTCTGCTGATTAATGTTAAGTAATTAAAATTCCTAAGCCATTCATTAATTTTAACCCATTCATTTGCTTTCCTAATGACCAACTACCTGAAACATTACAGTTATGGAGTTGGCCTCCAACTATAACAAAAGACTTTTCTTTTAAATTTGAACCTAATTCTGGGCCGGTGGGGCTCAGTGGTTGAGCGTCGACCTATGAACCAGGTGGTCATGGTTCAATTCCTGGTCAGGGCACATGCCCAAGTTGTGATCTTGAGCCCCAGTGTGGCATGCAGAAGGCAGCCAATCAATGATTCGCTCTCATCATTGATGTTTCTACCTCTCTCTCCCTCTCCCTTCCTCTCTGAAATCAATAAAAAATATGTATTTTTAAAAATTTGAACCTAAAGTTCTTAAGATGTTCCACATAACATATGAATGTTTTATACAAGTGTGCAAAGGGAGAAAAAAGATTGGTGAGAAGGAAAAAAGGAATTTAATGAGATTTTAAAAAGATAATAAAATTTAATTATATAAATCAGAAGGGAATCCCTGAAATGAAACTTGATTTTTTATCTTGGTTAAAATTTAAATACATGTCTTTTATCAGTAACTTTTCCAGGCATGCTAGGAAGCAACTAGAAGAAAATCAAAGCCGTATTTAAATGACCTCACATTTTCTCACTTTTATTATTAGCAAAGAAAACTGTCACTTTACCTTCCTACCCTGATGCTTAGAGGGGCGATACAGAAAAACAAATGGCCAAGTTTAAATACATGGAAAAGTGAACATGAACTAGTGAGGGGGGGAAAAGACAAGACTTAAATTTTATAAATATACAAACAGAGAAAATAGAGAAGTGAGAAGTTTATGAACAGATATAGTTTTTTTTATCAATTTAAAATTCTTCAATAAAAAGGAAAAGGTTATCAGTTTATTTTTAACTTTCGACTTTAATTCCACTGATTGAAAATGTTTCAACTTCACTAAGAGACCTTCAGGAAATAAAATTCTGAGGAAAAAAATGATTAAATGTATCTCATATGCTCTGGGATACTGAAAGAGTATTAGATGATTTTAGAAGTCTCTCCCAATTGTTAGATTTTATGGGTTGCGAATCAGCAGTTTCTGTGCAGTAGTTAAGGAATGTGTTTTCCAGTTGCTTGTTGTGTGCATAAAGGTATGCTAAAGAGCTGTGTGCTCTAGCTTAAATCCCAGCTGACAGTCCCAGCTCTGAGCTGATAGCCCCTGGGACCCTGGGGGCAAGATGTTGATATCCGCTCTGTGGAATGGGGAGGATGATATGATCTCGGAAGGTGGTTGTGAGTAATGTACACAAAGCATTTAAGAACAATATGTGGCCCAGCTGGAGTGGCTCAGTGGTTAAATGTTGTCCTGTACACGGAAAGGTTGCTTGTTTGATTCCAGGCCAGGGCCCATACCTGGGTTTTGGGTTCAGTCCCTGGTTGAGGCACATACAGAAGGCAACCAATTAATGTTTCTCTCTTCCTCTTCTCCCTTCCCCTCTCTCTAAAGTAAAAAATTTTTTTTTAAAAAAGAGAACAATATCTGTTCCAGATGTAAATCTACTCAGTGGTAGCTGTTCATAATTCAAGGTTCTGAAATCTATTTGTAAATGTAGCCCCTACATTGTTTAATTTCATGAAGCGTGTTGTTTAGTTCTTTTAATGTCTCCACACCGGATCAGGAAATCTCTATACCAGCTAACATCTACCTCGAAAGGCACCACCATTCTGAGGGTGGTGAGCAGCCCCATCTCTGAAGAGCCAGATGTTAGTATAGGCTGAGGCTAGAGATCAGGATCTTGGGGTCTCACCCTTCTTGGCCTCCTCACTACTCATTTTAAAAGAGGCCTTTTGGGAACATTACAACCAAGAAGTTAGAATAGCTATTAAATATCGGAGACCTGGTCATTGTTTTGAGCCAAGCCGACCTCTCAAGTTTGCTACCAATCATACATACAACTAAATGGAACAACCTGATCCTTAAGCTGTTTGATTTTTTTCTTCTTAAGCTGTTATACATTTTCACACATGCAAATATACAGCAGAAGCAATTTTATATACACTTGAGTGCCTTTACAAATAATTCTAGAGCAAGTAGCTCCATGATCAAGCAAATGGATTTCAAAGCTGTGTTTTGAAGTCTGACTCTAAAGAAAGGTTTTCTTGAGGCAAATATTGGGGCTGCCTCATCACAATGCTACTAGGCGCTTGGTTTCAAATGATTCCTTCCTGGCTAGCTGGTTTCCTATGGGGGCTGCTACTGGGCACACTCCAAGACATTACTTAATCACATCTGTGAGAAAATCACTTGAAGAGTCCATGTCCCAGTCGTGGCTAATCTGTTGAGTTTGAGAAGCAAAATGCATTCTTAGGTCAGCATTAGACTAAGCATCTTGCTCATTAATCATTAAAAGCCGTCCAGCTTGAGATCATCCAAAGAACATTACTTAAAATAAGAAAGAAGAGAAAAAGTATTTTATCTTCAGCAGCATTCAGGGCACAGCATATTGCTTTCAAATATCCTTCTTCCATAATGCTTCACACTGTCATTCATAATAACCTGGGCTTGGGAATAACCCCTTTCAGTCAATGGATCACTCCCTATGTGGGCAATTGGCTTTAGAGCATCATCTGTGTAGGAACAATTACAAGTGCAAGTCATACTGCCAGTTACCTTGCCAGAGGCACCCGTCATCATAAATAAAAGCAGCAGTGCAGCCTACATGATGTGTCCATTTTGGATAGTTTTTTTCCTTTCACTCAAGTGCATGAGCAGATGCAATCAGCTAGATATGGGTTAAAAGTGGCAGGAAGAGCTCTCATCTGGGTGCAGGAGATCAAGCCCAGGCCCCTCTTGCTGTGAACAGTGTGATTACAGGCGAGTTATCTAATGTCTGGCTCCTCAGTTCTCCATTTCCTGTCTCCCATATGCTTGTTATGGGAGAATAAAAGTTGGAAAAGTTTCCTTTGGGGGTGAAGGGGATGCAATTTTGAAAAGCAGTAATGTACAAGTCCATCAGACACTCTCCTACCGATGTGGCCGGGAAAGAAAATTCATTCTCCACCTATCAGCAAGTATATGACAACAACAAAAATTGACTGTGATTTGGTTCATTGGGCAATTAATACGTGAGCTACTATAAGGGCATCTACTTGGGGTGAATGTGGATACAATTATAATATTTGGAATTCCAGTAAAATCAGAGAATTCATATTCTGTTGAAGAATTATTAACTGTTTAAGGGAGAGGGGTGGAGAGGATCAAGTAGCCAGGTGGGAAGAACATGTGTTCAAGTTGGAGAAAAGGGACTTGGGAGGCAATTGTTGCCTCAGTACTAGGAAGCTGGCCACTAAATCCAATGTGAAAAGCACCAGAACACAAGACAATTATAGCAAGAAAAATAATCATGGCCAATAATGAAAATAAAGAGGAAAGAGGCAACAAGATTAAGCGATTAGCCGAAGGTCATACATATGGTAGGGAGCGGAGCTGGGATCCAAGATGTCAGACCCAAAGTCCAGTTTCTGAACTACTTCAAACACAGCTTCCAGTGTCATCACTGGTAAACTTCAAGGTTACCTACAGTGGCAATCCCATCAGTGATGTTATTTAACCTGTGTGTGGCACTGTCATATTACAGCAAGTTAGACGTAAAACAAACCACCATTCAGGTGTTTGGTTGCTGACCATCACAGCCTGAACTTTCCCCTCCATGGCAGTCCCAAAGCAGACGGAACATTCTAGGCAGGGGCAGGCAGGATTTAAACGACTAGAGAATAAGCTGTGTCGTGGCTGGGCTTCTCTGAGCTACATGGTTAATTTCTGTTGCCACCACTTGTTTACAGGACTTGTGTTGGAGTGTCTTTCTTGGGCTTGTGGTTGGCCTGAAGATTTTAATGCAAGACATTCCTCATCCTGGAGACAGGAGACTCTATTGGAAGTGACAAGTAGGAGTACGACATGGGTCCATATGGAGTTTTCATGATCCAACCTTGAATATTTAGAACACCAAATTCAATCCACGGTGGGATTAAGATTCTGGAAAAACTATGTGTGCAGTCTGGAAGAGTGAACAAATAAGATAAAAACAATATATGTGGTAAGGTGGCAAAATCATGGGTGACCAACTCAGTGGTAACTGGAAGTCATCGTCATAATGCTGTCCGTGTAACAGAGCATTGTTTTTGGAGAGATCCCCTCATCTTGCCCCGTGGCTGCCACATGCTACAGGGCGTTCCTGGCAATCCACACACCACACGTTGGAAGCCTGGGCTTCCATTCCAGGTCCCGAGATGCATGCTGCTACGCAAATGCTGGGTAGACCTAAATATACTTACTCTTGCAACAATGCTTGCGGGGGGGACACTGAGTTCATTAAAGGGGGTGACATTTCTTCAGGATAATAATCTGTCCTCTGTGGTTCGATCCCAGGTTCTATTTTAATTTTTTTCTGTAATATAGGCTTCTCATAGGATTCAATTACAGGTACTAAAAAAATAAAAATAGAAAAGTCACTCTGTGTACAATTTACCAACTTCAGCTTTTAAAAAAGCTTATTGCACAGGTCCCATCTATAACACTGATGTGTGACTATTTATCTGCCTTTGGCAAATTAGAGCAGCAATGAATCTGAGGGGGTTCTTGTTTCTCTGGCCCATTATTTTGCCAGTAAGCAGTGTACCTAGGAAACTGGACTTTTAAGACACCAGCCCCCAAATGATTCTTTCTTATGATTTTTTATTATCTCCTTTTAACCCCAGTCTTCTGCCCATGACCACTCGATAAACAAGGTGCTTTTAATAGCCCTGAGTAATCACCATGATCTAAAGGTATTTATTAAATGCCTCTTTGCACCTAGAACCGTATTGGCATTTCATGAAGCAAAATGTAATGTCAAGATTCTTGCCAGCCCAAAGTTGACAATTATATAGTGAAAGTAATCATTTCATAGCTTTAAACAGACAGCCTGATTCTTGGGAGCTCTTCCAGTATCAACACTTTAAGGCAAAAAACACACACACAAAAGGAAATGCCTCAGGCAGATGCTAAGTGGGATATTTCCTTTGAAGAGCTTGGCTCTGCTACCTTCACCCTCCCCAGGCTGTCTGTCTGGTGAAGACACTGGAGATTCTGAAATTTACCTTGCATGCTACTGTTTGAGTTTTCCATCTCCTCAGACAAGGACACCATGAGCGGCTGCTGGAGGTGACTGGTGTACATGAAGGGGACGGGCTGCACCACGACGGGCTGTATGACCGGCAGGATCCCCGGGCTCCGAATTCCGTGCCTGGACAGGGCAGCGGCCATCACCGGCGGCATGGACAGCGGCATGCTGAAGGGCTGCACTCCTGGGGGCGGGGGTGAGTACTTTTTCATGGGCGGGCTGGACGATGGCATGCTCAACCCGGGCGAGGCTCTCCGGTGCGAGGACTGGAACTTCAGTGAGGAAGGAGAATTCCCGGCCGAGGGCGGTGAGCTCCGCTTGTTGACGGTCAGGTCCACCGGCTCCATCTGCATCCCGTGCGACAGGACTTCCGGGGTCTGGAAGAACTTGTCGGATAATGGTGTGGAGTAGATGACTCCATACTTGCTGGGCTTTATGGACTCCATGTAATTAGATGGGTATGACTATTGGACAGGAAAAAAACAACACGGGAACCGCCAAATAAGTACATTTGCTTCAAACACAAATTAAGATGCAAAATTCTTACCAACAACAGGTTATGAAACAGAAGCCTTCTGGGCTTTAATCATTAGGAGTCAGCGTTGGGGTTCACCAAGAACCAGCCAAGCCAAGTAACCTCGTTGTTTTTCTGATGGAGCTTCTTAACTGGCAGGAAATGCCCTCTCTGGCTTTGGTATGTACCCCAGCGGCAGGGCACTGAACATTTCTCATGATATGCTTTTTATAACATGAAGAAACAGAGCTGCATGTGGGCTGGAGCCGCTGACGAATCCATTCCTGGGACATCCAACAGCCCTGCTTTGCCCGGGACTATCTTGACTTTAGTATTAAAGTCCTACGACCCAGGAAATGCCTCAGTCTCAGGCAAACCAGGATGGCCGGTCACCCAATACGCCTCACACTGAAGGCCACCCACACTAGGGTAACTATGTCCTTGGCCCCAACTTGTTCAATGGTCTACGCACAGTTTGAATGAAGGTGCAGAAGATGACCCGATTTATACATTTGTGGATGACACAGAACTGTAAGAAACAGCTAATATAATATGACTCAAATCAGGCCACCTGATGCTCGAAATGAGGGAGGCCCAGTGTTTTCTACATCTTGCTCCCCATTCTCAAAAGCTAAGCTAAGAAGATATTGGAAGAGAGACAAAATGGTTTGTTTCCTCCCAAATCTAAGATCTGTTCTACAATTGACCTACTTTACCTTCAAATACCCTTCTCTCTTCTAATATCAGGATGACCTAACTCATCTACCAGCTTTAAATATAAATAAGTCACAATTGCATATTCTGGTTCATGTTCTTGGCCATGGAGTTGACTAAAATTGCTCCATTCCTTAACTATAATTTAAAAATGAGTATTTGCTGTAGAATGCTTTAAAAAATTAAACACCAGCCATTTTCTATACATGCAGGCATTTTAGGGAAATTTTTAATAACCACATGTATAGTCCTCCTGCAGAAAATTACTCGTATTTGAATCTTTTACAGTGAAAGTGATAAGCAATATACTGTGCCTCTCTTCCAGCTCTTTTAAAAACATTTTATTTATTGTGTTTTAGAGAGAGGAAGAGAGGAAGGGAGGGGGGAGGGGAGAGAGAGAGTTATTTTTGTTGTTCACTTACTTATGCATTCATTGATTGAGTCTTGTATGTGCCCTGACTGGGGATTGAACCCACAACCTTGGTGTATCAGTCTTCCAGCTCTTAAATCGTATCTGTTTATGATTCTGAGGCAATACTAGCTCCTGATGCAGCTGAGAAAACCCACCAATGGGGACTTGTACTTAAATGACTGAATGCACTGTTAATTTCTGAGCCTCCCCAGACCCTCCAGTGGCTACTATTGTGAGTTACAAGTCATTGTGGGCAGCAGTGGTTTTGACGGGGCTTATGACAGAGATCCCACCCTTTCCTCTCTGGGTCTTGCTGGACGGCTCTCTACCTGGCTGTGCATCAGAATCACTTGTGCTGTTTTGAAATGCAGACGCCTGGCCTCTACTGCAGGCTGACCGAGCATGGAGTATTGGGGGAAAGGTCCTAGGCAGTATTTTCAGTCCATTGGATTTTGATCTTTTAAAGTTTCTCATCTTTAAGATTAAGTACTTTGTTCTTTCATCCTTTCTTTATCCATGTCATCATAATCTGTATGGTCTAGAACCATGGCCGGCAAACTGCGGCTTGCGAGCCACATGTGGCTCTTTGGCCCCTTGAGTGTGGCTCTTCCTAAGCCTTAGGAGTACCCTAATTAAGTTAATAACAATGTACCTACCTATATAGTTTAAGTTTAAAAAATGTGGCTCTCAAAAGAAATTTCAACCGTTGTACTGTTGATATTTGGCTCTGTTGACTAATGAGTTTGTCGACCACTGGTCTAGAACAGTGATGCCTGCTGCCTGGCACACGGTGAACATACAGTGCTTTAAAATAGGTGTTTATTTAAATGCATACGAAAAAACTTTTTTTTTTTACAGTAGTGATATAATGTTCCCTGTTAAAAAATTATGTTAACAAAAGCAATTCTATAAAAGAGGGCAAGAAATATTACTAACTAAATATTAGCAGTACAGGTGCCATCAGGATATGGCAAAGCTCCTCCTAGAAGGTTGTGAGGCTAAAATCAAAATCGGATTCAACGAGGTAGCCTATGTCTGAGCTTAAACACCCTGCAGCCCTATGGCTCCCTTCTCTTTTCTCATACAAGGAGTGCACTAAATGGGCTTAGATCCTCCTAATCAGGGCTTCACAGATTCACTGGGGATCTTGTTAAACTGTAGATTCTCAATGACTGGGAGGTGGCAGGAGGTGCACAGACCGCCTTTTGAATGGCACGGCTCTCAATAACAGACACAGAATAAAAATACTAATTTTTAGTATTAAAATCTGGTATATCACTTAAAAACAATTTAAAGAGGGGAGGGAAGAACATGCATTAATAAACCTGCTTAAAAGCAAAGACATAAAGGAAATAAAATCAGGAAATCCAAAAATATATAAATTGTTGTTTTTTAAAACAGCTTTGAGTTATGTCTAGAGAATCAAATGAAGAAAAGACTATTTCTAACTTTCTTCAGACCCAGGCACCCCACAAGGTGTGAGGGCTCCGAACATACAGCAATATTAACATTAAATATATTTAAATTGAAATATTGAAAGAGGCATAAGACTCACTAACAAAAAAAAAAAATTACAAACTGTGTACAATGAGGGTTTAAGGAAGTAATTAAACAGGGGGGGGGGGGATGTCCCCTGGTTCTAAAGTTTAATCTGCTTTACATATAATTCTCTAAAGTGCAAAAGCTCTGATACTAGAAACAAAAAGTCAAGAGATGGGAGGCAGCATTAGTTGACTCTACTCACCAAAATGTAGCTTCTCCCTTATTGTCAGCCCTATTCTTCCAAGAGCTCCCTATGACCTAGATTTTAACGCCAAGTTATTGGCAGCTCAATAGGAAGCAAAACGAGGACACGCTTTTATTGCTGTCATTGCTGGATTTTTCTATCTGTGGGTGAGTTTAAGGAAAGTAGGAATTGAGGACCCGGGAGATTGGCAAAGTTACTAATATTCCCAGGTTTCTCACGCCATGAAGGAAAAGAGACAGCCATACAGAAAGCCAAGTATTCTAAACACGATGCAGTTTTGCTGCTCGTCTGCTCTCCAGCGAATGACCCCTGTGCCCTACGCTGACTGCTGTGTGGTGTTTGTGAGGCCACAGGGCTAAAAGTAAGGAGACACCTTTGGGCACACAGCGGAGCCCACAAGTAACTCTTTCCAGTCCGGCCGCCTCAAGAAAGGGTGAAGACATGTGGCTCCTCAGACTGTCTCACTAGCACATTTCCTAGCAATGTGTATCAGAGCCTTCGGATTACTGGGGTGGGGCACACAAGCTACTGCCATCAGCTCGCACAACCTGGTGCCCCACCGTGGAAGGACTGATGCGGGGGTTTGCGCCGGGTGTGCACACCCTGGTAAACAGTTGCTTCCTTTCTGTTCCAGACCATTCCTGTCTTCTAACTAAGCAATGCAAATAGGCGTGGCCACCCGGGCCCCTAATCCGAATCAGAGGCAAGTGTAGAAAAGCGCCTGTGGCCACTGAAGGACATCCAATGCCACCCTCCCCTCCCCCTTCCACACGCTCAGCCAAGGAGGCTCTGTGTGCTGGAGCCCAGCAGCCTGAAGACAGGGCTCACGCAAGGGGTTCTCCCCGTCCTTCCATCCGGGGGTGGTCCTGGGTTTACTTTTCGAAAAGGTTTGGTTTGGGACACTTTTCCAAAGCTATCACTTTATACTCAAGTGAGAATTTCAATTGTTCCTTATTTTATGGGGAATACTTTTGGTGAGGTTTCCATTACAAGGGAGTTAAAGTGGATAAAGTCTCTATTTCACTATTCATGCATATGAAAAAGAAGTGAACATCCGTGACAGGGCGATGGCAAGTCAAAGGAATCTTCATACGAAGGGTGGGGCTCCCAGGGCAGAAAGGCGTGGTGCGTGTATAAACACACACTCTGGAAACTGCAAATGTCATGCCTCTCTATGCAAACACAAGCAGAAAGCTCCCTTTCTACCAGGCGCGGGAGAGCCGTGAAAAGTTCCTGCTGGAACAGAGCAGAGGAACTGTTAAGTGCTTCTCAGTCTGTCAGGAGTCTGTTAGATAACAATTTTCATTAAAAAAAAAAAAAAAGAAAGAAATGTACTTTCTTCAAAAGTAGTCTTCCTGTAGGAACAGAATAAGAAAGAATACTTTTTAAAAATTTGTTTTCTTTCTTATCTCCTGAGTTAAATTCTTTAACTTTCTTTGGAAATGAATGGGTAAAAACAATTCCTTCACATGCACATTTTACATTCATTCACATGATGTCTACGGTTTATAAATTATAATCTCCAATTTTACAAATAATAATAATAATTTAAAAAAAAAGGCTCAGGCAGCTGCTGGCAGTTTTGCCAACTTTGCATTGAGAGTAAGTAGCAGAGACCCAGGCACAGACCTGAGCAGGCAGGGTCTCCTCTCCTGATTCTTGAACCTTCTAATAAGACAGTATCAAGCCCTAACCGGTTTGGCTCAGTGGATAGAGCGTCGGCCTGCGGACTCAAGGGTCCCAGGTTCGATTCCAGTCAAGGGCATGTACCTTGGTTGCAGGCACATCCCCAGTAGGGGGTGTGCAGAAGGCAGCTGATTGATGTTTCTCTCTCATCGATGTTTCTAACTCTCTATCCCTCTCCCTTCCTCTCTGTAAAAAATCAATAAAATATGTTAAAAAACAAAAAGACAGTATCAAGCCTATTTGCCTCAAAGCACAGGATGGTAGGAAGGCTTATATGGGGTAAGTGAGAGATGACATTTCCTCAGTTTCTCTAAATTATAGCAAAATACCAAATAGGCAGATTGCTTCTGCTATGCTCTCATTTTAAGAAAAGGGGGGGAGGGGAGGGAAGATAAATCACCATAAGGTATTTTTATTCTATGTGGAATTAAAACAAAATTCCTCTTACAAATTATTCTATATGGCCTTAATGTTTAAAACATAGACTTGAATAACCAAAGACTTCAACCTTCAGATCAAAGATGGAAGAAGGAAAAAAGAAAGGAATAAAAAAATAAGAAATTAGGTTTCATACACTCCACCCACAAAGGCAGGAGAGATGAAATTTGAAGATTTAAGAGTAAAAACAGCCTGGATGGCGTGGCTCAGTGGTTGAACCTCGACCTCTGAACAGTAGATCACGATTCGATTCCCTGTCAGGGCACGTGCCTGGGTTGAAGGTTGCAGGTTTGATCCCCAGTCGGGGGCATGCAGGAGGCAGCTGACCAATGATTCTCTCTCATTGTTGATGTTTCTCTCTCTCCCTCTCCCTTCCTCTCTGAAATCAATAAAAATATATATTTTTAAAAGAATGAAAACAAAAGCTTATTTAATTTTGTTAAGAAAATAATCACAGCACCCTAGTCTCCAAATTTTTCAGTTAACTGAGATTTCACTGGATTAAAAAGGAACTTCACTGTAAGGACAGACACTAACTGTTGGTGAAACAAACTAATTTCTGTGAGAGTAGCTGAAGTTGCAAACTCGAGCATGAAGGAGAAAATGACCATTATTTGCAAAAACACTTCTATGTATTCTAGGTTCATGTATTAATCTTCAAGTGCATTTTACTTCCTGTTTTCAGTTAAGTGCGTTTTCTTGCATTTAATTACATCACAACTAACTTAGCAATGTGCAGCTTCATTCTTAGCTTGAAATTAGGCTCTGGAGCCCTCCTATTTCCATGCTTGCTTAAAAGCACTGGAAGTACACTGAATAGTAAAATGCGTCATTGATGGTTCTGCATCATTTAGAAAATTAATCATACTCTCCGGTACTAAAAACCTATTCATATTTCAAAGATGTAATTAATGGGAGAAATTTTACACCTTAATTTTCCTCCAACGTGACCATGCCATAGTTGGGGGAAGGGTTGAGGAATGCAATGACAGCACTGAGTAACATCAGAAGTCAGTTCGCTGTTTTGATTAATAAAATTCTTATTGCCCAGTTTTCATATTCAGACACTCAGTTATCCAGTTATTATGCTGGAATGTAAATGTTATTTCCTCAAAGCCACTCTGACTTAACTTTTCATTGCACCCAGTGATAAACACTTCACTGGCTTCGTAACAGCCATGGCAACTCAGTTCCAAGGGCCTCTGACTGACCCCCGTGTGTTGTATAAACATTTTTGGCAGGAACCTCCACAGCCAATGCATAAGGATGATCTAATTTTGCAAGCGTGTCATTACCAACCTTCTCATATGCAACTCAGGCCAAGTTTTCCCCCTTGTGAATATTTTTTCAAGCCCGTGAAAGAAAAGAGCAAGATAGAGTGAGAGTATTGCCTTGTTACTTCATATTTGCTAAACCAGATCCCCTCAAGTCTAAGCCATTCCCTGCTTTGCAGTGGGACACACCTTTCTGTTGTCACCCAGGCCCCATAAACACTTGGACTAATTACTAGTCTCCCGGTGGCCCAAAAGCAGCATCTAGAAGGTTCCGGCTCACAGAGGGGCCAGCTTAGCACTAGGTGCTGAAAAAGACAAGGAACACAATTCCCACCCACCCAGACTCTTCCAAGTGAAATAAAATTCCTCCTCCCCACCAAGTTCTTTCTTTCACTAGCTTCTCTCCAGGCATCTCTCACACAGTCATAGCTCCGTATCGCTGTTGTCATAGTTTTTCAAACAAACCATTTTATTCTTAATACACTTATTTTTACATGTAGAAGGACTGAGCGGTTGTTATTTTATTATCATCTTTTAAATCAGCTCTATGGAACACACCCTAAATACTATGAGACCCAATGAATGTCTTTTTCTTCCACTATTAAAAAAAGGAAAACCTCCAACATGTTTGAGAAATTCTTCTATATAATAAGGGTGGTGATCTTGAGTAAAAAAAAACAAAAACACCTCTAAGTCACCTGTATCATATTCTTGATGCTGATTTCTTATAGGTACATTCAGATATTGCTTCCTCACCATGGTAAACACTGCCCACAGGTTTTGAAAAATAACGTCCCTGAGTAGGAAGCTGGGCTGAGCAGCTGGCCCTGGAGGGAGGCCACAACTTGACCACCATCTGTGATGCCTCTTAGGCCTGCATCTCGGCTCTGTGCAGCGTGGAGCTACAGCCCTTAGATGAGACAGCCTTACAGAAAAAGCTGAACATCGACCATCGATGCCGTGGCCACGCTAGAGAACACCATCGAGATCCAGAGCAAACACTGGAGTTGTGTGCAGAGGTCTGCCACTGGTCTGGGTCGTTCCCTACGGGAGGCCCAGGCAGGTGAGAGGGAGGAGGCCAGACTGCGAGCGCCATGGCCACGCCATAGAGGGGGCCTAGCAGGTGCAGGCTGCTGCAGCAGGGAGCACAGCCCCAGGCCAGCAGAGGAGCCTGGGGAGCAGGATGCCCTGTGACTCCCGACCCCCATCCCTCTGGGCTTCATCATTGTGCTTTTGTTCATTTTTTTCTATTAAAAACAAAGTCACATTCAAAAAATTAAAAATATATAATTAATTTAAAAATGTCCCTGGGTGCACATTAATGTAAAAAAAATAAAATCAGTCTAGCCAAACTTTTTTTTTTTAAATGCTTAGACCAACAATCCTGAGAGCTCCAACTAAAAACTCTGGAAACTGAGGAGTTTTTGTAAACCTACTTCTGTGGCCCAAGTTCCGTGCTGACCGTATGCTGAGGGATGTGGGGCACAGGCCTGAAGGAAGCATAGATCCCGTTTATTGAAGGATGCACAGTGGCTAGTAGGGTATGAACCTCACTGACTACCGGGGCCTTTGAAAAATTTACCTATCAAATGCCTGTTTAGTAACGAGTAACTTTAAGAAATAACATAACACATGACAATAGCATTACCACTTGGAATAAATAAGAAAATGTTCGATTTTGGAAAACTTACCACCGAGACAGGGTCCATGGCCTCTTGCTTGACAGGAACTGGGTCAAACATGAGCATTCTTTTAGTTAAAGCTTTCTAGGGTGCTCTGGTGTTTGGCCTGGAAGACAAAACAAAGTGTCCATCTAAATCCCAAGGTTACTTTAAATAAAAACGAGTAAAAATAAAACATAATATTCCTCGCCCCCCCCTTCTCTGCTCCCTCCTCTCGCCCACCCCCCCCCCCCCCAATGGCTGGAATTTGTTTCCTTTACCTATGAAAGATGCCATTCTGTATAATTAAAACCAGACTCCATGGTCATAACCAGATGAGAGCCAATTGGCATTCCTAACTCAAATACATTTCTGGAACAATAGTAAAGCCCTTTCCAAGCAGTAAATCTTAAGACTGTAGTGCAAACTCAATAGAAGTTCACATTATATATGAGTGTCAAACACTTTTCCTTACAGAAAAATCAGAGGGGAAAAAAGACAAGCAAAAAGAAAACCTAGAACCTACCATCATTAATATCTTTGTTTTTATCCTTACAAATTTTTTTACATGGGTTTATAATATGCACAGAATTTAGTATCCATGATTTCACTTGACAATTTATGAGCAGAATGTTTCTTTTCGGCAAGCATGGTTCCATACCATCAAATTCAGTATGCCACATCAGTTTATGTAAATTATCCCTTTTTCCTGGGCACTTAGGTTGCACATCCTTAATTTTTAAAGTAAGTTTTAGTCTTGGGTGACAAGCATGGACATTTTCCAAAGCATATGATATACCATCCAGCAAAGATACTGTATTATTTCCATCAATAAAACAGAACCCGTTTCCCAATCCCAACATTTCTACCAGCGTCGTGTATTATCACTTAAAACAAAACAAAATTCTGCCAATTTGCTAGTATCAAAATGGCAAATTATTTTTACTCTAAATGGATTTAATTGCTGAATTAAAATTTATCATTTGCATTTCTTCTTTTAAGAAAATGCCTATTCAGGTCTTGAGTTCTCAGGTCCCCCCTCCCCCGACTGTTATTGTTTTCTAAGCACTTTTTATATGTGAAGAATATTAACTTGCATTCACTCCCATTCTTTTGCAAATTTCTCATTAGAAAATCAGACACTCTTTAGCCAGATGCAACTTGTCCTTGTTCAGTCTCTCTCTTCCCTGCTTCTAATATTCTGCTCGTTATCCATGTATTTCCTTCTTTGTTCTATACTAGTCCACTTGTACCACTAGTCCACATAAAGCCAACTGCTCCCTCACAGGACAGAACATTCAGTCTGCTCAGTCCCCAGCCGCACTTCACAGGTGAGGGAATCACCGCCCTGCTACTACTCAGATCTTCAGGATCTCTTCAGGCACTTACTATCCAAGTTTGGTTTACATGTTAGAGGTGAAGTCTTTTTTTTTTTTTTAATATATTTTATTGATTTTTTACAGAGAGGAAGGGGAGGGATAGAGAGTTAGAAACATCGATGAGAGAGAAACATCGACCAGCTGTCTCCTACACGCCCCCCCCCCCCCCCCACTGGGGATGTGCCCGCAACCAAGGTACATGCCCTTGACTGGAATCGAACCTGGGACCCTTGAGTCTGCAGGCCGACGCTCTATCCACTGAGCCAAACCGGTCAGGGCAGAGGTGAAGTCTTTATAGATCACTTGGTTTGGGTGGAAAAGTGAACAAGTTCTAGACTGAGTTCTACCTGAAAGAGCTGAGCAGTCCCTGGTTCGTGATGACTTCCTATGTCTTAGCATGAAAACTCCCCATCCCCATCCCACCTCCTGACAGTAATCTGTGGTTTGCTGGGTCCATGCCCTATGGGTTATACTAAGATAGCTCCACATACAATGATAAAAATAATACCGAGGTGTTCTTGCGTTTCATTGCTTCCTTGAAGAAAGTCTCTACTGGGTCTCGGGACAACCCGTGAATATCATTTTTAACTCACCCTAAGGCCCTGACTTCAAAATCCTGTTTTCCTACATCATAGGATGTACTGTAATCTGTGAACACAATCTGATACCAGGGTGCTCAAATCAATGGTGAGTGCTACCACCCTCACGTCTTCCGGCAAGAACATACCCCAACCACCAGTGAAAAATGGATGATTTCATGATGAAGGATGAAAACCCCTTTTGTGCTTTGAGATCTATTATTAACCAGTTCCCAGCGTAGCAGCTGTACAGATAGATGTTTCTAAAACTTGCTGTCCAGTGTCCTATACTGGACCTTAAACAAAAGATGTGCTTATAGCAATGAGGTCAGATAATTCAGCAGCTCTGACCCATGGCTGGCCACCCCTCCCCCAAGCCTTTTAAATGGAATTAATCCTTATAGATCCACCCACTCCTCTGACAGTATCTTGATGCAAATCCTTCTAAATAAAAGCCCCCAGATTCTCAGGTGTCTAAGGGAAAGAGCCCAGGTCAGGAGACTCATGAATTGCATCTAGCCCTCCCATGGGGCAACTCCTTTCACATGTAAAAGGACATCTCTTTAATCTACTTCCTAAAATCTGTACCCACAATGTTTTAGGAAAAGAAAATTAGAATTAAGACAAAACAAAGCAAGCTCTAAATAGTTTATATCAATAGATATGCACTCAAATTTTTTATATATATATACTGAACAAAGAGCATTAAATTTGTTGGTTCCAACTTCTGGAACACCATCAGGCATTTGCCTCTTTGCTAACATGATGTTTCAGAAGAAATATAGTTGCATATCACCACCCTATTCAGTCCTCTGTGCTTTATTAGAGGTCACCCCCCGCCCGCCCCCGCACACCCCCCCTAAGAAACACCCTCAGATTAAAGTCGCTGTAAGAGCTCACAGCTGCCGATGTCCTCCATGAGATCTCATTAAGGGCGGGGTCACTTCACAACTGCACCACGGGAAGAGCTTCCTAGCCTCTCCTCGCCTCACCTGCACCCTCTCCTCCCAGTGAGAGCAGCACAGTGGACGTGAGATGATGGGCTCTGGAGTTCATTTTGGTTCAAATGCTAACGCCACCATTTAGCCCATAAAGCCTTAAATCAATTTTCCTAATGACCACTGAACCCATTTAGAAATGAATTACACATTAACCTGCTCGTTCTTGTATCATTTTGAGACATTACTTAAGTTACTTTCATTCTTTAATTTTTATGTTTTATCTAAATTTAAGGAAATTAGTGCGCTGCAAGACTTGCAATCCTAAGAGAGAGAAGTCTAATAGAAAGCATCTGTTTAACCAAACCTGATTTACTTTTATTTTAAAAAGAGCTGTAAATGCATGTTTCCATTTGTTCAGACGGTGCCTTAGAGAAACTCAGTAGTGACAAAGGGAATATTAGTATTTCTCATTATAGAAGTATTTCAGCTAATAAATGAAGCAGGAATGGGATTAGAATACCTCATTTCGAAACTCCTAACTAAATAATGCATCACTGGATAACAACAAAAAAGTCTGTGTAAAGTTCAAATATCATTAGGAAGAACAGAATCAAATCTAACAGCACATTGTTCCCTACGTGGTAGCTTCTAAAATGCCCGGTTATGCTTTTAGTGCTAGTCGCAGGATAGGGCACAAGATAAAGGGCATGCAAAGAAAATGATGTACCCTACCCTGTCAACAAAGGGCTTCCTGGGAGTGGGGTGGGAATGTGACAGCTTTATATACACCTGTGTGCCAACTTTAAAGTGAATTCTACAATCAAAACTTTCAATAAAAAATGAGAGGGGAGGCTAAGCTAGGAAGGAACCGGATTTAGGAAGAGAATCGAACATATGAACACAAATCAGGATTTGGTTTATTTGCGAAAAGCCTGTATACCTGGACCCACGGTGCTTACCTCTGGGTAGACAGACCACTTTGCCACCACTACAGACTATCTCTGGGTCAGAGAAGAGTGGCTGCAGTGTCTCTAACGTGCCTTCCATAGAACTGAGAAGCCGCCGGAACACGGGAAGAACTGAAGTCTCTTAACTTAGTGGCTTTAGTTCCCCACCAGCAGCTCAGTACTCTGGGGATGTTACCATCATTTTTAAAGAATGCTAAAAACCACAAATTCTGCAGAAAATCTGTTACACAACACTGGCAGCAATTTTAAGTCCAACCAGTAGGTGGCGCCCTCCAACAGGTATTACAGACTAAGACACTGGCAGCAAATTGAGTTTGCCAACAGTCAGGGTCTTTAAACCTAGTGGGTTTTAAGCAGGCTCTGGAATTCTGTTAACCATTTTATGTGGGTATCACAGACACGAGGAGGCCCCAAATGTGGTTCTGTTTTTTCTTACAACTATTTTCCAATCATAAACACATTTACATCTTGGTTGTATGTTGCCTAGCAGAAATATATTCTAAACTAAGCAATCCCAAGATAACAAAACTGCTGTAAAAGAGAAACAAAAGGGCAAAACTGGTTTCAAAAAACTTTTTAAGTTATTGAGGTTCTTAAAAGGAAAAATATAGAAACATCATCATTGCCAAAATAATTTTCCATAACTGGAGCAAATGTCATCTTTCCCAACTATGTTATTTTGCTGGGAAGGGCCAAGACAGCTGGGTTTTCCTCCGAAAGGAAGAAACACATTTCTCTTCGTACTCTCTCCACTTTTACTTCTAACTTTTCAGATGTTGAAATAAGGGTCAGATTTCTACCAAAATGGAAAACTGTATGATTATGTATTAAAAAGCTTCAGTGGATCATTTACATGACGTTTCAGAAGTAATATAGTTGTGTGTCATCACCCTATTCAGTCTTCTGTGCTTTATGAGGGCACAATGTGCTACAGAGCTTAGAAATACACACAGCCCTTAACATACCGAGGTTACGATTTACCAAATCTCCTTTCAAAGTTGCTTGTCTAGAAGATAGAGCATGTTTATTACAAAAACAACTTTATAAATGACTGCCCCTTCTTTAGATGAGAGAGGGAGGGAGGGAGGGAGGGAGGGAGGGAGAAAGAGAGAGAGAGAGAGAGAGAGAGAGAGAGAGCGAGCTCAAAGGGTCCCTGCATTATCCTTCCCAACCCAGCCTGACCTAAGGCTCCAAATTCTCTCCCTCCCTCAAAGCAAACCTGTTTCCTAGCTGACCTCAGCCAGGTGTAAGAAAAACAGCAGAATCAAATCAACACATCTTCTGTAAGTGCCCCCTACCGCCCTCCACACCCCCAGCTTTTAACTCTTTCAAGCATTTGGATTTTAAAGGAGGAAGCATGTTTCTCCCCCCACTTTTTTACTCCCCAAAGGAACTTCAGGGGGAAAAAGAAAAAGAAAACCTAACAAACCAATCTCCGTGGTGTGTGTGTGGTGTGTGGTGTGTGGTGTGTGTGTGTGTGTGTGTGTGTGTGTGCGCGCGTGTGCGTGTGTGCGTGTGCGTGTGTGCGTGTGTGTGTGAAATTCTTGGCCAGGAAGAGGACCAGAACAGGCAGGCAACATCCCTGTAGCTAAACTTCCTTTCCAAAGAAACTTTTCTTTCTTCACTTCTGTACCCAAACTCTTTAAGCTCCCAAGGAGCTGAATACTTAATGGCAGCTGCTCTGGCCAGACACACGCGGGGCCAGGCAACAGATGTAAGCAGGCGTTTGGAAGTTGGAGGCTCCTTCCAGAACCGCCGAAGGCTGGCACCTACCTGGAAATGCGTCCCGTTTTCATAGCACTTGATGATTGCCACCTACCTCAGTCTTCTCTTAGTTGGTTCGAAAGGGAAAAGAAAGAAAAAAATCCACGGAGTATTTCTAAATCTTTGCCCCTCATAAATTAGTTATTTTGCATCGAAATGCTTTGTAGATGGGAAAGAAGTTAATTATTTAGTTTCAGATTAAATATAATGATCCAGTGAGCAAACAATCCGCCCTCTCTCCTCTCTCGGCTAACAAGCCACCCAATTTTACTTTCCTGCCTCCACCCATCTGCTCCACCCTATGGACAGTTGCCAAGGCGAGTCCAACTTGTCCAAACAGGACACGGCTTCAGATAAGATTCTGCCCACACCCTGTACTTCGGAAAGACGGAGTGAAGCAATTGATTTTGCATGTAAATAAGGACAGGTGCAAAGGTAACAACCAGGCACAATCCGCTTTAGCAGAAGGAGGTCCGGCTATGCAGGGGTGGGGGTGGGGAAACCCAACCCAGACCCGGTAGGTAAACTCTCAAGTTCACAGCCACCTGTGGTCAGTAGCATTCCATACCTTTCTTAAAGGAAATTTTAGCAAACCCTAGTCATTTTCCCTACTAGGGTTACACGCTTGTTTTCCTTCTTTAGGCTGACAATTTCGTATTTTAGTTTTAAGGGCAAGCAACCCAAGATCCATTGAAAAATTCCCTTGATGCATAATCCTGCTGTGCACGTATCTTTGTATCTTATAAGGCTGCCCAAGCCCTGGCAGTCCTCTTCTGTGGAGTGTTATATAATCAAATCCAGAAGGGCTGTGTGAGGCCAGGCTGCCTCGCTCTGCTGGTGCCCTATCACTGGAGACCCACCCCACTCCACCCTAAGGGGCCTCCACCCATGGGGCCCCACCCTGGAGGGAGTGGGAGGCTGGGAGGGACCAATTGGCTCCAGCCAGCAGCTAGTTCCTGGAAACTCTGGCCTCAGCAGTGATGGCTGGAACCTTAAAAATAACCAGAAAGAATCGTCAGGGTGGTGGCAATTCCCTGAGCTCCTGCGAATTCTCCATTAAAAGTTTATCTCATGGCACCCCGGAACCTTTGGATATGAACCATGAGCTAATACTGCCCTCTCCCTTCAAAGTAAACAAGAAGGGAAGAGAAAAGCACTGGAACCACGGCTATGTAAGAGAATTAATTCAACATGTCCCCAAACCAAGTCCTCCTCACTCCTGCCTTGAAAAGGCTGCCAGGCTGCCCCCCCACCTCCCACTTGCTCTTTTTTCTGGTCATTCAGCATGGACACCTCTTTCCATTTCTACAGTTGCCATCCGAGGCCAGGCCCTCAGTGCCTCAGGACCCCGTTACTGGAGTTTTTTTCTCCACTGGCCTCCCCACCTCCAACCCATCCCAATCCCCTTGCCTCCTACATTTCTCAAAGCCCTCTACTCATCTAGTCGTTCCTAAGCTCACAGACCTTCCTCCCTCCAACGGGATCCCCAGGGCTTGGGGAGTGGGTTCAAGAACCCATGCTCAGCACCCCTCTACCAACCAGCTGCCCCCCTGCTCCAACAAGCGCCCTTCATGCTGGCTGCCCCGTCCCCCACCCCCAATGCCTTTGTTCATTTTTGGCCCTGATGCTGGGCAACCCGCGAGGAATGCCCCGTCCCCTTCCGGCTTATCTAAATCCTCCTAATTCTTCAAAGACCAGCTCAAGGCCCTCCCCACTCTGTGCAGCCGCTGATTGCACCCTGGTACCTCTGAGGCCGCCTTCTTACCTAGCTAGGCTGGGCCTTTTAACTTGCCAAAGGTAGGTCTCAGACCAGCACCTGAGCATGCAGTATACTCCCTTGGAGGCCTCCCTCCCCATAGGAGGGAGATCAGGCTTGTCCACTAAAGGACATTTTTTTGGTCAGGCACAAGGAGCCAATATAAGAGAACTTAGTCCATGGCAAGAGTTCCACAGTCATTTGCTCTTCCCTTTGCATGCACTTGGACTCTCCCTTAAATAATTAATGGGCATGAGGCAGACCAGACCTAACCCTAAAGGAAACTAAACTTCTCTTAAAAAATAAAATAAAACGCTTTTGCTCCTAACCTTAATCTTGCCTGTTAGGGGTCCTCCAGAAACCTTACCAGTTTCATCCTCAAAGAATATTTTATTACCCACACAGAGAGATCTTCTAAACATGTCTAGTGTCAAGGTTTCTACTGTTTGAGAGCCTAAAATAGAAGAGAGAGAGAGAGAGAAGAGGCAATTGCATGAGGAGGGAGGGAGGGTGTATGTGTAACAAAAAAAAACCACTAGGTTTTTTTTGAAAAGCATACTTCCCTTGACCAAGGAAAGCCAGGGGTTTCCTGTTGATCCTTACCACCTTTATGACTGCCAATCTGCAGGTGGTTCTTTACAAGGACTGTGTCATTCAAAGCCCACAAGGTCGGTACGACCTTCCCATTTTACTGATGAGAACACTAGAACAGAGAGGCAAAGTAATCTGTCCAAGATCACACGGCAGCTAAGTTGTAGAGCTGGGATTTGAAGCCAAAGTAGCCTGACTTCAAGGCTACTTCTTTCCCCACTCTCCTTCCTCGGGCAGAGGACAACATCACACCACAAACAGCAATAGTGGGATAGCGATTTCTGTGAACAGATCTGTCCATGGGGCATAGGGCATTGGGGGACAGCGTCTTTACAGTAGCTGCGATTTCAGTCCCTCCCAACTGGTCCCTGGTGCCTACCTTCTCTCATAGAGTGCATGCTTGGACACAAGATCAAAAGACACATTCTGAAGGCCCTAAATTAGGCTATTATTCTTCCTAGCCAGTGCACCTGCAACTGGTCCATAAAACTGCTGAGGAAAATTGGCAGCTCTACTCAAGTAAATACGGAAATCCTCATAATCACTGTACAAAGGTGGAAGGGTCAGGTCCTCATCCCCATTTTAGAAATGAGGAAATGGAGGAACAGAGGTGAAATGGCTCGCCCAAATTTGCAGAGCTGCTTGGAGCCGCAGCCAAGAACAAAAGTGTGTCTGCCTGTAGACCAGGGCTCTTTCTGTTCTGCTTCAGTCTGCGCCGTGGGACCGACTTTTAAGTGAAATCATCTCACATTAGGGTCACTCCCTGGTAACGGAGGGTGTGGGACGTGTGGTGTGCAGTGCCACACCGGCCCATGCTCGCTCGGCAGGGCCAAGGGAGGTTCCAGCGGGCAATTAAGATTTCAAAACGCCTTTCTGGTTAGAGCACTCTGGACCGACTCCATCCTGTGGCACAACTAAGAAGAATGACTGCACATACTTTGAGATTAGCTCTAATGAGTAGGTGTTCAATGAACACTTGGGAGATGAAGAAATGAATGGATGTCAATCTACACTTCTCACATGCTAGGATAAAAGGAAGGGCAAGGGCCACAGAATGACCTTCTACCAGGTGTCACACAGTGAAACTAGTCTGAAAAATCATCTTCTAAAACCTAAAACACAAAGTAAAGGTGAAAACTTCTGGAGGCTCAGGAGAGAATAACTCCCTTGTTTGGAGACCTAAGTGGAACAGGAACTTGAACCGACTAATGAAAGTCCTTTTGGGGTGCAATGCTTTGGAAGGTACCAGGGTATAAAGTGCAGGAACAGATAAAGGAGTGGATTTCAGTGATTAGACTCAAAGAACAGTAATTAGTATAAAGAGCTTATAGGCCAAAGGAGAAAAAACCCACACCTGATTCCCAGGTCGCTCTCCAGGGTAGATGCACTCACCTCCATGTCCACTGGATCTCCTACATCTACATTTGGCTACACTCCACTGATCTGGGTTGAGACTAGCTCCAGGCCATGCCTGGAGATCCTCAAGCCTGCCAGAGATTGGTAACCATCTAGAGCAGTGGTTCTCAACCTTCCTAATGCAGTTCCTCATGTTGTGGTGACCCCCAACCATAAAATTATTTTCATAACTGTAATTTTGCTACTGTTATGAATCACAATGCAAATATCTGATATGCAGGATGTATTTAGGCGACCCCTGTGAAAGGGTCGTTCGACCCCCAAAGGGGTCGCGACACACAGGTTGAGAACCGCTGATCTAGAGCATGCCTCAAGCTAATCTGGGCTCTTCAGGGTCCTCCTGGAAGGGGGCAGAAAACACCCGCTTCATGGAAATCAGGGCAAGAGCCAGATCCAGGGTTACAAGGAACGCATGGGCTGAAGAGCCACTTAACTTGCTAGATTCTGTCTCCAGCTCCCCTAATCATTAGATGGGGGGAATGAAAATGTATTCGGCCTAGCAACACAATAGAGCAGAGTTTCAAAAAGATCCAGGAACATGTTTTGTTAGAGAAAGAACTTTACTATAAACACTCTGACAGGGGTACAAAATATACTGATAATTTTTAAAAATGGTCCATTGAATTATGGTGACTTTTCAGGAAAAGCACACAGCCAGTTAAGAGGATAAATAAATAAATTTGAGAGAAAACAGTCCTAGTTCTGGTTCAGAAACAGTGGCTCTAGCATTATGTCTCTTATTATTGCTAAATTTCAAGGAAAGAGGTGGGGTTTCAGGGTGGGGTGGGGAGCGGGGCTACCTCCTTTGGACAAAGCTCTCCCCTATCGGGGTAGACTGCTGTCTGGTTTCCTGTCTCGAGCTCTGCTTCAGAGGACAAACAGGGTCTAAGAAAGGGACAGATGGGCTGGAAAATGAGAATGCTAAAAACCATCATAACCCTTCCTTTCCACCTCACTCCAAGATGATTTCTGACTAGAGTATTACATGTTAGCAAAGCAGGTAACAATTGTTTTATGATTCTAGGGATTTTTTTTTTTTTAAGCTAGAACCAATGATAAATGAAGCACTTCAGAAAGAAACCCAATTTCCAGAATAATGTAATTCCTAGTATTAAGAAGATGAGGTTGTTTATATTTATTTATTTTTCTTCAAAATAGAGTAAGAATTACCACCTAAGAAAGCTGTTCATTTTACAGCAAAAATGGTGATTTGGAAATATTAAGAAGGGGGAGAGAGGATAAAATGGAATTGAATTAGGAATGAT